CTCACCCGGAGCCTCTGGCAGAAGACCCCAGGAGAAACTCGAGGCCGACCTCTGGGGTTCTGGAGCCAGGGCTATCGAGGACCAGAAGCCAATTACACTCCAGCTGAAAAAGAAATATTAACAGCATATGAGGGGATTCAAGCCACTTCAGAAGTTATTGGTACAGAAGCACAACTTCTCTTGGCCCCACAGCTACCTGTGTTACAATAATTACTGCGTGATCTTCTTGTCCTTATCTCAACCTTTGAGCCCTTTTCATCATATTTTCTCCCCATTCCTCTTTGAGGAGGGGGAATGAGAGAGTGGCTGTGGTGGAACTCAGCTGCCCACTTGAGTGGAACCATGATAGTATGTTATATTTTTCTGAATTTTGTGGAAAGATACTTATGCAACGTATTTAAAAATCTAGTAGTTCCTATGTGGTTGTGTCTGGGACCTAACATCTGATCACAATTACATTTGTTTAAAAAGGACAAAAAAACCTACTGAATATCTTATGTGGAGGTGGGAAGGAGGTAGGGACTCTGCTTTTGAGCTTTCACTGGCTTTATAGAAAATAGCAAAACTGTCAGAAATGTCCTTATTCTTGGCACTGGTTCAAGTTGCTGAAAATAATTACATTCTCTTCACAAGAGCAATTTTGGAAGTAAATGGAGGAAAGGTAAATTCTCTTAAAAAAAAAAAAAAAAGTCTTGATAATATACATGCTACTGATGAAGCTGTCTACCATTTTGCTCCTTCTCCACACACTAAACTATTTTCAAATTGAAAATGCAGGAATGTCAAAAACAGCTATTCAATTAGCAGGTTACCCACAGGCTTTGAGACATACCACCTGGGCCAAACTCTATACCAAATCATGCATCCTGTGTTTTTGAGAAGTAACTTTGGTAACTTTTATTTTAATGACATCTTATTCACATTCCCCTCTCAATTCATTGCCCTTTGCTAGCAAACATGTTGCATGTTCCTGAGTATTAAAAAAACAAAACAAACAAACAAAAAAAAAAACAGACACACAGGAAAAGAAAAACACACCACTTTACCACAAATATGACAAACATAAGGCAAATTCTGTTTTGGCATCTGTTATCAAGTAATATTTCACAAAGCCAAGATACAAAAGTTTATCATTCTCCCAATCCCCCCCCCAAAAAAAAAAAAAAGAAAAAGAAAAAAAGAAAAAAAAAAAGGAACAGATGTAACTTGTAGTCTGGCACAAAGTATATCACATAACAAAGTTTGGAAAGAAAAGCCTCTAGCTCCCTTTTTACCTCACCAAGACAAAATGTACAAATAGCTCTAAAACCCTCCCCATTTTGGGGGCCAATAAGACAACTGCTACAACTGTTAATGCATATGGTGTTATAAAATGTTTAACAGTAAAAAGTACCCATTTGGCTTTGCCTTGAATTCCGGTTGTTTGGACTTAGCGCCAAATCATCTATGTAATTTTTCAGCTCAGTCATATTAAGAGATGCTTCCTACCTTCTGAAACTACCTTCTCTACTGCTCCAATTGAGTAAATATAATTCTCTCATCCCACCCTCAACTAACATGAAACAGATGGAAAATACATTAAATTAGTTATCAAAGAATCATTTTCTCATTCAAATACCAGTCACTGACCCCAGTGTGGTCTTTACATGTGCAACATATCGACTGGACTCCACTGTGAGAAAGAAATCAGTTACATCTCTTGGGAGTCTACTACAGATAGTGAGAATTTCATCGGGTTTGGTGGTGGTGTTTGTTTTTTTTTGTTGTTTTTTTTTCTTTTCCCTGGAACAGACACACAGTACATGATACACAGCTTTGCTAAGTACCCTTCAGGTACCTTTGCTAGGTACTTTTCAGTATAGTACTTTAAGAGGTAGAATTTCCCTGCCTCAACTCAGTGCCACACACCAGCAGACATACGATCAATACTGAGGAGTGTCCTTTGTAATGTCCCTCCCTCCTCCCCCCCAAAAAAAACAAACAAACAAACAAAAAAAACAACTCTGCAATCCAAATTCCACATGCTTATCTAGTTTTCTCATGCTTGTTTCACCAAACTTTAAGATTTTGCCTTACATGAAGACTGTGAGCTCTCTGGAGTTAGGCTCTCTTATTCATTATCCCACTAGACCACTGAGAAGTAATCAGTGTTCATCTGAAAAAGAGATGAATTCAACTTAGAAGATTGACCACTGCAGAATAAACACAAGGGAGATCAATGTCCAGGTTATGTGTTTCACTACTCATGACTGCTTCCTTCCGTATCCTTCCGAACACTGCTAGTTACTTACATTCATGCAACAACAACACATCTGGCAGCACACCCAGTGCAGAATTCAAATAAATCAAAATTCAATTGTTTTAGTATCTGAACTCAATAAATTTCACATACAGGAGAGAAGCTATATGCAAAAGGATCACATTCTTCAATCACAGTCAGCCAATCAAGCCAGCTTAATACAAATGAAAAACCCCACTGTGTTACAGTTTGAAGAGCTATTTGGAACTACAATGTGGCCATCTACTCCTAACTTTAATACAATGCAGACAGATAAGGCATTATTCTGTATCTTTAAAAGGCCTTCCTATTGTGTTAAATTAATTCAGCTGAGCTATAGTATGTGTGAGACAGGAATCAGACTTTTGCCCATCCTGACAGAGCACAATGCTTTCTACCACGAGTAGTCCCAAAGAAGTCACACAGCATGCCAGGTACAAAGTACTTGCAGAAGTGAGCCCTCAGACAGGGCTATAAAAGCTCTGGGTTAAGGAAGCACATATCGACTTGCTTCTGCTTGATCTGTTACACAGCTTGACAGTAACAGATAGCCAGTTGCATTAGTGTCAATGCTCAGATAAGTTTCTCTCAATATCTGTCACAAAAAAACAGATGCTGTATCAGTGTGCCAGCTGTATTATCGGTCACTACATAGTTGATCATACTTAATAACATCCTCAAGCACAGATATGGCTAACAAGCGTCACAGGCTGCAATTACTATTGTGAGCCACAGTCACTCAGATCACCCTGACTTTGTGCTGCCAGCAGCGCACATTCAGCAAGCGGCTGCCTCCCACCTTTCCTCTCTCAAATACATTAACGTGCCTCAATATGGAGCCAGAGTTTGTTTTCAAACTCTTAACAGGATCACTGAAAGAAAATAAAAAAAAAAAAAAAAAAAAAAAAAAAAAAAAAAGATACCATAAATGATCCTCTGGACTGTTTCCAGAGTAGTGTATTCTCTTAGCAATTGCTTTGGAAGCAAGCCAAAAGTGAGAAGTGTTCTTGCAAATGAGCATACTGTTATACTCAAGTACAAGTTATCATTTAATTCTTTTGTCAACATCAGTGTGGTTAGAAATTAAGAAGCCTGTTTAATACATAAGTTACTTGACTTCCAGTTACCAAACATGGATTTCTCCTCTATCTATCCATACCCCCAATGCCCCTCTCCCCGACTCACTTCCCAACATGTACTGTTGTCTTTTTTGGATACTTTCTCTTCTCAATTGAAAGACAAATAAAATTAGTATACTCATTGTATCAGCCATGACTAGGTCCCTAATCAAGGAAAAAAGAAAAAAGACAGTCACTCCAAAGAAACATTTGAAAACATCAGAACAGGTTTCAGAATAGGATATACTGCTTAATATTTTTAACAGAGCCTTAATACAGTCTGCTGAGCAGTTTCATGTGGGCAGTTTTTCACATCATGATTATTCCTAATGAGATCACCCTCTGTACTGTATAAGCCTTCATCCCTTCCCAACAAAACAATGAAAGATTTGTGCGAGGCTACAAAGGCCTCCGATCAATTCTACTCACTTCACCTTATATAGAATTTACTAGTAAAAGAAACTCATCAGGAACACAATCATGTTTTTCCCTGAGGACAACTTATTAATAATGAGCACATTTACTTTCCTTGCTTTAGGGTGACCCTAATCCTCTGTAGATTTTGAAATCCTTACATAAACATCTCAGACTCACTGACCACAGCCATCTTTGGTTTTGAGATTCTGTAGGTTATTCCTCTTCACAGATTTGTGGGCAGTGGGGGCTAGAGGTGTTACATGCAACACCTGTGCAACTTACATGCAACATTTCTCACTAATGTATGTCTATCATGTGATAAAGATGTGACCATAAATAATTAGTTGTGTTATCTTATGATAAGAATGGTATATAACTTGTTTTAAATCTATATGAAAATGTCTTGATTTTACTGTAAGCAGAGACAGTAATATATCCTTTTTTTTTACACAAAGCAGAAACTTCTTACGCATATAGCCCAGCCATGCTAAGTGTAAGTATTTTTCTAAAAATGTGTAACTGAATCAGCCCAAATTAGAAAGTACAATGCAATAGTCTCTGACTTGCTAGTATTATAAACTAATCACCATGATCCCCTGGCAAACCAAAATTTAAAGTTAGTTTTATGCATAAGATATTGTAGAAAAGAAAACATACTTCACCCTGGGAACTTGATATTCTGTTTGAAAGACCTAAAACAGTATTCTCAATTTGTATGCACTCATGACACAAATCTGTAATGCAGTTTTTGTGTGTACATTATTTCTATTACTAACCACATGTCATTCTAAGTTTATTTCCTCAGTTTTAGTTTCCTTGTAATCGTCACAGACCATATAAAAGAACAAGTTCTTTAACCACTCAGGGGTATTAATACAATGTTCTGTACTAAGAAGTATAAGGACTGTCCCCTTAAATTGCTCAGAGTTTTAGCCCTGAATCAGTATTTATACTTTGCACAAGTTTTTACATGTAAACAAGAATAGAATTAAATGCAGTACACAACTGCCAATGTCCATGCCTAGAAAAACTGACTGCTTTAGACTGGCCAGTGTAAAGTTTACAGACTGAGGATGTGAAAACTTAAGATGCGGACTGATCATGCATTTCTGTTGCAGATAAATAATCAGATGGTATAATATAAACCCATATTTGCACATATTACAACAAGCTGTATGTTTACTTACGTTCACACGTGTCTCCTTTCTGCTGGTATCCTGATTTGCAGATACACTTTCCAATAGGCACTAACCATTCTCCCTCTGCACTACAGTGCATCTTCGGAGAGTTCTCAGCCTCCTCCTCTGCACTGCTGACGCAAGTTCCTCGTACTTCAACTAAAGAGGAAAACTCTGAACCAGTCACTGTGTCAGGAAAAATAGCTAAGTTCTCAATGATGGACCAGCACTTCTTGTAGTAGACTTTGACAGAGACCAAAGCAATGCAGGCCCCTACATCCTGAAATGCAAGATAGAATCCTTTTTTGGACAAAGGTCCAATTTCTCTCACCTCTGTGTTAAGTTTCATTTTCCTTTCCCCCAGATCACCCTGGGTAAAACTTTCATCTGCTGCAATAGTGTCTATTTTTACATATTGGTTTTCTCGGATATTCCTGCCAGTGTCGTAGTCTGTTTCATAATAATACAAGTTAAAAGTTTCTTTACAAGTTCCCAGAACTCCAGGAAGACTGTTACAATCCCTCAGAGTGAATTTCAGTTCTACAAAAATCCTTTGTGCATTGCTTTTTGCAATCCAGTTAGTCCGAAGCCAGTTGTTTTGGTTTGATTCCATGACCTGGCATACCTGGTATGTTCGTATAGGAGTGTAGTTTTCATCCAGTCCACTAATTTCTTCCCACTAAAATAATAACAAGCAGTTAGTAATATAAAACAAATATGACATTGTAACTATTGTGAATTTGAAAAAAAAGCTTCACACAACTTAAGTCTCACTCCTTTTTAACAGTTAGGCTTCATAAAAAGTATGTTATTAAAATATTCTTAAACATCCAAATAAAGAAAATACATATTAATCCAACCGGAAGATCTGCCCCCATCTATATCTTTCCCATATAATATCTTTCCCATATATAAAAAAAAATAAATAAAAAAAAAATTAAAAATCATTTTCACATCATGGATACAATTCTAAAGGGGAAACTTTAGAAAAGGCTGTTCAACATACCAAGCTCTAATTCCACACTGGGTTCTCCCACATTTTATTAAGGTCATAATAGCTTTGGGTAAGCAAAGACCAAAAGGCAGCTTCATTTCCAGAAGAAACCTAAAATCAGTGTAGTCTTAGAAACTGAAATTGCCTAGTGTGCAATTTCAGCCTTTGTGCATAAAAACATTGGGTGGAGCTTTCAGTTGTATGGAAAGCAGAAGGCTCCTGAAACTTATGAGGTGTACAATTTTCACTTCTATGTGATTAAAGTGGCATGGAGAGACAACGAGAAACAAAGGACAATTAAAAGTCTGAAAGTGAGAAAACACTTTGGTAGTTTTCTTTTTGTTCACTCCATGTTCCATTCTACTCACAAACCAACACATATAAGCGGATGCTCCTCAACTCACCTTTTGTTCAGTGGCTGCACCCATGTTAAAAGAAACTAATTTCAGTTGGCTGGGAGTTTAAATATTAGATTAAATATTCAGTTAAGAACAACCCACATGATTGAAAGTTCTCTGGTTCAAAGCCAGAGAACTGGCTTTTGTTGTTACTCCCTCCTTAGGATAACAACTGTGTAACAAACCCAGAAGTGTATAACAGACCTGCAGTCTTTCACAGAGTTTGGTGTCTTTGAAAAGTGCACCTCCGGCAACGGCAAACCTTCCCCTGAAATCAGCCAGGCAAATCTGTGCAGGTACATTCAAAACAGTGTACATCTCACACTTCTTTTCGTATTTCTTGTAACGTTAAACATACTGCAGAAACTGCAGCTGTAATAAATTAAGGGTTTGTTTTTTTTGAGCTATCCTCACCCGATGATATAGGCAACCGTGACTTCTTATGGCACTTAGCCCTCTGGCCGTGTGTCAATAATGCACTTAAGCTCACGCTTAAGATCAATGACAGTACTTATGAGCTTAATGGTAAGCATGTGCTTAAGTGCTTTGCGGAACTAGGATATTCAGCACCTCTGCAGGACAGAGCACTCACTGACATTCCTCATACTGGTAACCAAGCATGGAAGGCATTGGTTTTCCAGACTAGGGACCATGCAGTATACAATACTTTGCAAAACTATTTGACAGCAAATGAGATCATTTTAATGTTGGCCTACTGCTCCAAGAAAAAGCAGATGTAGCTGGATTGATGCTGGAAGTTATCACCACAAAATACATCATGACTGCAGATGCTGAAATGCACAGAAGTTGTACATATCAAAGTATATTTCAAAGACCTACAGTTAATATAGATGTGGCATCTATGGTATTATACATATATATACATGGGATTAAATTATTGAAATATTAAATGCTCATGGAATCAACTGAATGCATATGGAGTCAACTGAACTGAATGCATATGGACCTGTATTCATGTCAGACTATTTTGATAATAAATTTATTAGATCTGAATGAGTAAGATTCTCCCCAGCTCCCCTTGAGAACTAGCACTACTAACAAGAACAGGGAAAAATAAAAAAGGGACCAGGGTTTCTGGCACCGTCACACTGATGAATGAATGAATGAATGAATGAATGAATGAATAAATAAATAAATAAATAAATAAATAAATAAATAAATAAATAAATAAAGCACCAATCCAAACGTGACAAAAAAGGCATGAAGCCTAAAATTTTACTGATTTTTATAATTTCCGTTTCACATCACATGGAACATTTTCATCTTGTGTAAGCAGTTCTCCCTGAACACACCAAGACAGATTCTGGAATAAGACAGTCCAGTTAAGGAAAGTATCATATCCGTGAAGCACAAGCAGCTTTAATGCAACACAGAACAGAATTTGACTCATCAGAGTCTGGGCATCGATGGGATTCTGTCACATCAAAATAGATTTATGTCACCATCCTGGTCAAAAAAAAATATATATATATATACATATATATTTAACAAAAATCAAACTGTTTTCCTTTGACATAAAAGAGCTGTCATACAGGCAAGAGCTCATTGTATGGGGATACAAAACACTAAATTCAGATAAGAAGCCTTATTTTACGTTATCTTCAGCTGAGGGCTTAAATCTAGCTTTCCACATTTTCCTGAATCCATGGAATATGCATGTCTTAAAAAAAAAAAAAATAATGGGATTATGACTTAGGAGTTAATTCAGTAATGACAGAACTATTACTTCAAATAGTCCATTGCATACCTGCTTCTCTGTGGAACTAAAAAAAAAAACAACATCAGTACTTCAGGATAAGTCTTCACATATACCACCTGAGATCATACCTCATTAGTATTTTTAAAGTGATAAATTCCATGTTGGCTTTTATAGGAAGGAAATTCATTTTTTCTTTAACTTGCTGCTACATATGGTGATATTCATGCCATCCTATTTAAATGTATCCTTTCTATTGATTCCAATATATAGTATTTAAACTTGTTAGTTTAAATACTAACAACAATATCGGAGATCAGTGTTAGATGTAACATCTGCAGTTGAATAAGGTATTTAACAAGTGCCTGGGTGATATAATCCATACTACAGTGAAGTGGTAGTTTCACTCAAGAGATATGTTCTCTGTGTTTATTCTCATGAAATCTTTGTGTAGTAGACAATAAGTGAAAGTACTTTTTTTTTTCAAAATTACACTATTAAAATGGTATTTCTATGTTGATACACAGACTGATCAGATACTTCTGATCATTTTCACACAAACATCCAGTCACTAGTTTTCATTCATTTTTAGTTTCATTGAAATTGCCTTCTACCTCTTAAAGTTCCCTTTTACCATTTATTGAATTTGACTCTACTTTCATCTTTAAGTATGCTGACATGTGTAATGTGTTGACATGTCTTTCATTATCTACAGGTTAACATAATGTAATTGCCACCAACCTAATCTTTCAAACACCTCTGGTAAAGGCTTCAATCAATGTAAAACACTAATGCCGACATTATTAGACACCATAAGTGTTGAGCTCACATTACATTCTTTCTGAAGTTGTTACATTCGTTTCCAGTTTATGCTTGTATTGATTTTACGATCTTGCTTTTAAAGAAAGACACTTTCAGATTTTCATTCTTCTTATTTAAAGGATTTGTTACACTTTTATATCCTCACTCACACTTCACGCTCTTCTGGCTCCAGATTTCTCAATGCGCCGAAGATTAAGGGCCTGATCCCCCACGTCCTTGTTCATGCAAGGAGTCACAGTGGATGCTGCAAGACTGCTTCCATGAGTAAGAACGAGACATATAATTTATTATTTCTCAGACTGAGCTAACGTTGGACAATATACCCGCTGTATCATTCTGAAAATATTCTTTCTTCCTTAAGACTTGAGGAAGAAGAGGTTTTATACCACTTTTAATTCAGTATAAAAGCAGCATTTCTAAAATATATAAGACAATAGTACAGATGTTTCTAAATCTCTCGTTTTTTATAATGATGTACTACCATACAATGGTGCATTTAACAGAATACCATGAGATTAATTTGTAAGCAAGCTGGAGGTGGCCTTAACCACATAATTGGTTCCTGGTTCCAGATATCAAGATCCTCAAGACTTGGGGATGTTTCAAGTTTGGAATGTCATTTCAAACACATCTGCAGTATAAATGTTTTTATTTTAGAGCACTTCAATCTGTGCTATTCAGTTACAAAGAAAACATCATAAACAAATTTATGATTGCCCATTATACAGAAAATGAAAAACATATTTTTAGAAAGTTTCCACACAGAAGTATATCTGCTGTTCCTAAAGGATAAAGAAAAAAGTGATTTAAAACACTCTGTTGTAAATATAGAGAGTTTTCTAGTACACCACAAAGGATTACAGTAAAAAGGAAAAGCTACTGAGGATGTTTAAGTGAGCTTCCAAAGAGGAGACTCCTTTTAATTAGCTTATGTTTGTACACTATAACCCAAGGTACACTTCTTTCCATTCTAAAAATGAAAGAGCCATAAACACTTGGTACAATTAATGAGAGAAATATGAGAGAGAGCTAGTTTAAAGCAAGTGTTGCAATTGCTTTGCTAAAATAACTACTCATCTTCATGAAGTTAATTTTTGCATGGAGTACTTACCCCGTTGGGAGGAGAGGAAATCCATTCCAACTCTGTCTGTTGTGCTTTAGAGTCCAGCAATATTACTAAAAAAGAGAGAAGACGAAGAAAAAAAAATTTTCCACCATTTGTTAAATATAATATGCAGCAATATAAAATCAAAGAACAAAGTCTAAATTTTAAAAATAATAAACATATTTCTGTACAAATTATTTTTTGTTCACATTATTGAAAAAAATATGCAAGTACAACTATGTACAACTTGTACATAGATGATTAAATGCTTTTATACCATCCATATATAAACAGATATATACTAATCTTAACAATTTCATTGCTTAAGTCTAAGCAGAATGCATTTCCTAGTGCCCTAAAATTATTAATAATCAGCTATTAAGATACATGTTCCCTTTCCCATCTCCTCATAAGGAGGACACTTCCCATATGCTGGGAAATTTACAATGAGCTTAAAAACAAACAAACAAACAACAGCATTTCAATACTTATCCAAACTGATTTAGACAGGTCTAGTCTATATCTTACCATGAGTTGCACTGTAGAAGCAATGGTCTTTTTGAGTAAGAAAGAAAAAATCATGCCCTTTAAGTAGTAATTCCATAAACAAATGACAAACAGGAATACAGAAAATAAGAGACTCTGCAATTACCTCATACACTGCGTATACAAAATACTACTTACACAAAGTCAGACTAACTCATTTTATAGCAATGGCTTACTAAAATCTTCGTGTCATTATACCCCAGTGACACTTCTGCAAAAAGACATCAATTTTAGTAGCAGTGCAATTATTTGCAGCTAAATGTGACCCTGCTTCAGAAAGTGGTTAATCACAGCCTAATAAACCAGCTCTTAACTATTTTACAGGACATATTGGAGGATATTACTGATGTTCTATTACCTCCAAATATACATTTATATGCAAGCTTTATATTTCAATCACAGTTATATGCCTCTTTCTAAACATATCATTATAACTTTCTGAAAGACTTTGAAGTGACACATATATTAATCTGTGATGTCCAAAAAAAATACATGAAATCATTTGTTGTAATACTTCTTTTCAAACAGTCAAAGCTATATGGTGATCAGCCATGTATCTGGGCTTGGCACTTTGAAGATTCCTTCTTCAAAACTGCATACTTAACTTCATACTTTTATTTGGTAAATAAAATGCCACATCTCTAATTTAAATATATTCAATATGGTTATAGCTTTGAAGCTATTTATAACTTTATGCACAACATTTAAATAGTTAAATTCAATACATAATTTGTATTATATTCAATATATAACTTGAAGCAACTTTTATCAAGTCTTTTGAATTGGTTTCAAGTCTGCTTTCAGCCCTTTATCCAGGTAGAATTTAATACAAAACTTCAGTGGATTACTAGAAAGATGGCACGACATTAAAAAAAAAAAAAAAAAAAAAGTATTTAAAGGTTCATCCAGTAATATCTGAAATATTAGTTGAACTCCAAACGGTAGCATCCAGGCCTGTATTTCACTAATAAAGTCGAACTACTCATTAAAGAAGTTTGATAGTCTCTTTCTAGAAAGATTATCTGCTTATTTCATTAAGCTTGGATCCAAGGGGCTTTACTTTGTAACATTTTCTATAGAAAAGCAGGTGGTGTATGCGGTGGTTTGTTAAACAAGAACATTTCTAACGATCCTGGAAGAAAAGGTACCGTGAAAAATTTAACCTTTTCAGCACCAGCACAAAATCCCACGGCTGCAATTCATTACACTTTTTATTTGGCAGCAGTTCTCCAGCACTTAGCAATGGGCAGGCACATCCCAGAAAGACGACACACAAAACAAACAAACAAACAAAAAAGAAAAAAAAAAAAGAAAGAAAGAAAGAAAAAAAAAAAACCAGCTTGCTCTGCAAATACTCTGGAAGACGCTGCCTTTCTCGTCGCCCCGAAAGTTACTGGGAACAACCATCCCTGGCGGGCGGCTGGTGCACGACTCCTAGCCCGGGAGGAGCGGCGCCGCCGGGGGCTCCGCGTGCGAAGCGGCGGCGGGGAGGGGGCGGCGCCGCGCTCCGTGCACCCCCGGCAGCCGCGGGAGATGCGCATCGGGCACCCTCTGCCCAGGAGCGCGCAACTCCCCGCGGACCAGCCCTCCGCGGAGGCGCAGCTCCCAGCCACCCCCCCACACGCCCTCTCCCCGCTTCTGCAGGACAAAAAGCGGCAAGAGTCGTAAATCCCGCGGCCTCGAGGAAGGGGCTCCGCGGGATACCGCGCACTCGGGAAGCGGCGGCCTCTCGTCTCCGCATGGAACCGCGGCCGCGCACCCGCTCCGGGCAGCAGCGGAGAGGCCCTAACGTGGTCCCCTCCCAGCAGCCGGTTTGGGGAGGGGGCGTCCGCAGGGGCAGCCCCGGGACCAGCCCAGGGCAGGTAACGCCGACACCCTCAGTGTCGGAGAGCCCCGCTCCTCTCCAGCATCTTTTATCGAGCTGCAGCAAGGAGAGTCGGAAAACTTTCCAACCTCGCCCCCCGCATCCCCTGTCGTCCCCAGAGGGAAGCAAAGGGAACCACGAGGGGCTGCAGCCGCGACCAGCGCTTAATGGAGGCCGGGGTGAAGCCGCAAAGTTATTTCCCCCCTACCCCCATCCCGTCTCTTTCTGCCGAGGGAGTTTTCGGAGCTTGCGGCAGGTACAGCCGCTATCAATCCCTGTCTGCCGCTCGCCCCCTCCTGACCCTCCTGTGGCTAGGCTGATTTTCCCCAAACGCCCGCACGTTGCACACACACACACCGTATACAAATGTATACATAAACGCCTCGGCACACGCAGCCACGAGGCAGGCTGCCGCCCGGAGGCACAGCCTCCGGGGCAGAGCGGGGCAAGCTGCCCGCACCCCTCCTCTCGCCACTCGGCCACGCCTGACTGCTCCCCGAGTGGGGGGCTCTGTGCATCCCAGCCCCTCCAAATAAACTTTCGAGACACAGCCAAGGGAAAGCTCTCTCCTCTTTCCCTCTCTAGCCTCGCCATCTCCTTCTTCTGTTGAGGGCAGAGGACATTTTAATTGAGGGATTTTTGTTGTTGTTGTTCTTTTTAGGCTTGAAGTGGTATTTTACTGCATGCCAACTGTTTGGTGAAAATACTGACGTATCCGACTGGGGTGGGAGGGGTAGGACTCCAAATACCTTCATACGCACAGACACCGACAAAGTCCCTGCCTCACCTCTCCCAATTCCCCCCTCTCCCCTCCGAAGATGGAGACGGACCTTCGCCTTCGGCTGTCAAACGTGACCGGGGCGCCTTTTAAATAATCTCGTATTTTCCTAGTGTGAGAAAAGAGATCCCCGAATGGACTTGGATTTTATACACCTCCATCAGTAGTCTCCGATAGAAAATCGCCTGTTTTGTCTGCGTGCGGGGCGGGGGGGAAGAGGGAGAGAAAGGGGAGGGGGGGGGAGACAAATGTCCAGCGCTCGCCTTACAGATCCCAGCGTTGGTTTAATGGAAATTAGGAAGCCCCGTAGTGATATGCAGATGGTGTAAAACATCCATCCCGAAACCTTTTCCTCTCTCCAGCGATGCCGGGGAACAGCACACGCGTCACGGGCACACGACGCCGGGCTGTACCCTCCAAATGCATGCCCAGCCGGGGTGCCCCACAGATGCAGACCCCAATTTTGCACCCCGATGCTCCCTTCCCACGCTCCGTGCGCGGCCCCGGGGGGGCGGAGGGCTGAAGGCCCCCGGCGGGCAGCGGCACGGGGCTGCCCCGCAGCCTCCCCCGGATCGTCCCGAGCCCTGAAGCCCCCAGCCCCTGCCCGGGAACCAGCGGGGTGAGCCGCTCTCCCCGCACCTCGCCCGGAGGATTAAGGCTGCCGGAGGGGAGCGGGGCTGCCCTGCGCGGATCCCCGAGCCCGGGGGCTGTCTCCCCAGCCCCACGCTTTTCTCTCACGTGCAGATACCTCCCAAACCTCAATCCCCAGGGCAAAGGCAGTTGTCCTGTTCTCTCTCACATGCACATATACATAGTAAACGTCTTGCTCTTTCCTCCCCCCCCCTCCACAGCAGCAATTAAAATAAAAAGAAATTAACGGGGGGGCTGACAAGCAGCTCGCGGCGGCAGGCAGGTCCTCCGCTAAGCCACCGCACAGACTTGGCGTGCGAAAAGCAATAAATAAGCCCAAACTTTTTGTTTCCCGCATCCCCTTACCTTCTTTCGCAGCCTGTGCCTCCCCCGTGTGTGCAAAGCGGAACAGCCAGACGGAGCACAAAATAATCCAAGAAGGGAGCCTACTTCGCAGAACCATGGTGCAGGAGCGGGGCGGTTTTGATATTTCTACCTATCTATTCCTAGCCGCTGCCGCTGCCGCCGCTTGCTGGGTACTAGAGGACGGTGGAGAATTCGCTCTGCTCGTCTTCTGCTCGGCGCTCCCTCCCTCCCGGCTGCCTTGCTCGTTCTCCTCCTCCTCCTCCTCCTCCTGCCTCTGCTGCTGCCGCCGCCGCCGCCGCCGCTGCTGCTGCTCCCGCCTCCTCCTCCGCGCCGCTGCCCAGTCCCGCACCGGGCCGCCCGCCCGCGAGCCCCGACTGCAGCCGGGCCGCCCGCGCCGCGCTCCGATAATATCAATTAGGGCGAGTGGGCGGGATCGCGGCGGAGGGGCGGCCCGTCCCTCAACCTGATTGACACACAGCGGTGCCCAACCAGCGGCGAGGCTCGGAGCCCGGCGGGCGGAGCCCGGCGCTCGAGTGGCTGCGGGCGGAGGGGCGGGGCCGGAGGGGTCGACCAATGAGCGGGCGGCGGGGTCGGGTTGCCGCTGGTGTTGGGGAGCCGCGGGATGCGCGCGGGGCATCGGGGCCGGGACCGGGACCGGGACCGGGACCGGGTGAAGGCGCTCGGGGGTCCCCCCTGTGCTCGCCCCCTGTCCCAGCCCCGCAGCCACCGGGGTGTGGAGCAATGGGGTGCTGTCCCGTCCCGTCCCGTCCCGGAGCCGGTCGCGCCCACGGGTGCTGCCGTTGCCCCGAGGAAACTTGGTTGGGGCGGCGCGGTGGCACCTAGGACACTTCTGTGCCCGAAGTCAATTTCTTCAGCACCGCGAGGGCTCCCTGCCCTGCCCTGCCCTGCCCTGCCGTGTCGTTTCCTTTCTTTTCCCCGTGGTTTTCCCCCAAATATTAACAGCTGCTGAACGGTCGTAACTGCTAGGTGGGGCGGACGGGGAAGGGGCTGGTGTTTCTTTTTCTTTTTCTTTTCTTTTTCTTTTTTTTTTTTTTTTTTTTCCTCCCGTCGGGTGTAACCTGAAGCGAGGGTAATCCGCTAACAATGAGACGCTTTAAATAGGAGGAAGGAGGAAAAAAAAAAAAAAAAAAAGGGGGGGGGGGGGAGAGAAACTTGCCAAATGCCTTTTGTCAGCGCTCACCCTACGCGCCCGGAGCTGCTTTTCCCGAGGATCCGCCGCGCCCCCGTCCCTCAAACCGATTTCCCCTTTCCCCCAGCCCAACCTCGCCCCTTCGGAGAGGGAACGGGGAAAGCGCCCCGAAAACTTCCCGCAGCCCCGGCCGAGCTGCGGAGCGGGGGGCGCTGCGGCCGCCCCGTCCCCTCGGCGGGGCTTGGCCCGAACGCTGCCTTCCCAAAGTGCGCCCCGCGCGCCTCCGCTCCCCTCCTGCTGCCCCCCTGCCTTGCCCGGCCGCCGCCTTTACCTGGGAGTAAGGCACGGCACGGCGCGGGACCGGGTCCGCAAGGCTCCGTTGGAAGCGCAGAGCCGTGCCCCTTCAGAGGATGGAAATGCTGGGTAGACCCGAGGACTGGGGCTCGTCTTGGAGGCAGGCGAAGATACCGAAGCGCTGGGGGTGCAGTCGCGGTGCGGTGGCCAGCTGGTGCGAGAATCGAAAACAGTCCTCGCCTAAATGGGGATGGTGGTACAGAAAAGAAAGCATGGGTGGAAATTTAAATTGTGAGGTGTTCTTTATGGGATCTTTCGGTAGACAAAGAAAAAAAATGATATATTTTTTAATTATTATTATTATTTATTTATTTTTTAAATATATGCTCAGCATTGTCAGGTAAGCAGCCACCATACTCTCCGGGCTTTAAGCACTTTCCTTGTGGTCTGCTCATTACTTCTGAGAATGGTGTAGAAGTAGCCTTAAAAATGTACTGTATTCTTTTCATTTGCCGAATTATTAGTGCTCACTACGTAGAGTGTGACACTTCTGTGCGTTTCAATCGGAATGCTCTTTTGATACACTGGATGCCACAATGAGTATAGGCACTCTTGATTCCCTCATCCTCGCTCATCTCTCATTCCCACCCTCATCGTATACCCGGAAAAGGGAGCTGTACAGATCAGTGAATTTGCATTTATTGTTTTAAAAGACTGTTTTGTTTTAAATATTTCCGTACAGGTATTTTGTATTTTCTTTGGAAGTTTTCATAGATAAAACTTATTTTCATGTGATACACGCTGTAACAGTGATTACAGCAAATCTAGGAAGTCCGTAACCTAGTTAGTCCCCTACAATTTTGTAGCATAAAGTGGAGGCATTTCAATACTAGACAACTATGCCAAAAAGACAATTTTCAGCCTACAGAGTGTAATCTTTTTTTCTAAAAATGGTTCATATTGAGACTTTTTTCATAAAAACACAGGAAGTCACTAAGTGAACAAGATGACAGGAGAAAAGCATGAGTGGCAATGACATACTCATGCTCTGCATGTAATTTAGGCCAGCCACTTATTTTCAACTTCATCTGCATTTATATAGAAATACTGCAATATTGTATAATCTAATATGTGTAGAGGGTGTGTACTTAAGTAAGGATATTTAAAATTACATAAACATATTAACCATACAAAGAATGTATGAGTCTATAAAAATAGATTAAAAAAAAAAAAAAAGTGTGTATTTCTCTTTCTGATCTACTCATTTGAAATGCTCTGTCTTCCTGATAATCATAACTTGAGCTAAAAATGGCATGCTATACATACTTCTTCCTAAAAATGGCTGTGGATATATTCACACTTACACAAGAACAATTCAGATGCATTGAGCAGTCATATTATGGATTTTATTTTTTTTTTAATTTTGCTTCCTACATGTGAAATTTTTGTGGAGTTGACTCAGAACTTGAGCTTCTTTTTAGTGAATCTATTTTTTTTTTCTTTTTCCTTTGCATCTAGCTTATGTTTTCTAATACTTCATTGTATTCTTTAGGATGGTGCAGCCTCTGTTGTATCTCATCCAGCTGAGTGTTGGATCTTTTGTGAACAAAAACAGAAAATAAAAATATTACAACTAAACCAAATTACTCAAGCTAAATGGACCATAGCCTTCAGTTTTGGCACCTATATCTCTGAGACGAGAAAAAAAAATAATCTGGAATTTTTATTCAACTCAATGTGTTACAATTCCAACACCATCAAAGTAAGTGCTTAACTGGAACAATAAAACCAATGATAGTAATGTGGCCTTTTTGCTTTGTTCTGTTATTTATTTATTTATTTTCTATTTTTTCCCTTGCTGAAAATCTGTAGGCCAGGTTCTGCATTTTATTTAAATGTGTTTACTTAAAATGTCTTTTCTAACAGTAGGTTGATACTAGTTTTCCTACGTTGATACCATCCTAACTTCCATGTAGTAATGGTTAACTCTATCTCCAACACATAACTCAGTCCAAAATTGTGATACAAGAAATATGAGCTAAATTCTAAGTCTGCACAAGTGGATGCAAGGAAAGGATTGTGGCTTGAATGAAGCTATGAATTCTGTTTCACAAATTGCTTTTCTGCAGGATTAAAACTTTCTTTCTTGGCTACTTTGTAGAAAGCTGAAACAAATTCTGAATAGCTTCACAAAGGTGTTGGAGGTTTGCCTTATACATAGGTTGTGAAAGTGATATTGAATCTTCGGTCTGTCTACACAAGAATGATTTAAAGCCAGTTCTAAGCAAAAACATTTGAACTGTTTCACAGTGGTGAAAGTGAAAATCAAGCTTATGTAATTAAAAAAATAAAATAAAATTTAAATGTCAAGTTTTGTTATAGTCATAATCTAAGCAATCCTTTATCTATGCACAAGATTTTCTATTCAGTATACATTTTTGTACAGTTTTTGTAGATGTTTTTGTAGGATTTTTACTACAAAAATGCAGTGGGCCTGTGACATTTGACTTTTAAGTAATATGTGCATAAATTATTATATGAAATGTTGTATTTAGTCTTCCATATGTAATGGCACATACATTCCAAATCTGGTCCAGAGGTGGATTTTCCTTATGGTGGCAATTTCAGATCTTCTCATGGGTTTATGAGTCAGAACAGCTCTATTATAGTAATGAAGTCAATGCATTAAAATAAATGCTACTAGTTCATAAGGAAATTGTAATGAATTGAAACTGTCTGATTTGAAAGGCATACTCATATAAAAAGTTCTTTCTTTAGCTGAAATTTCAGTAAATTTATAATTTTAACTCTTTTAGTTAACAAAAATCAAAACTAGTGCTTCACACTTTGAAGGCTTCAAATATGCCAGAATGGTAGTAGCAGTTCACTGACAAATTTTCTCTTGGGGATTTAAGGTTATACAGTCTGCTAAATAGATATTTAGGTTCTGTTTTTCAAATCTATATATTTTCAGTACACTTGAAAATCCCTGTCTAGAAATGGAGGTAAGATGGTCTGTCATCTTGTCATTTAATGGAAATAAAATACATTCTACAGGACAATACAAATTAAATCCATGTTAAATGCATATGTGAACATGAAATACCCCTGCCTTTCCCAAGGCACAGTAGCAGAGTTGTACAGGGTCCAAGAATATCCTGCATCTGGATCCTGTAGGACTCTTTCTCTCGATAAATCTGAATTTGCAAACTGACTTACTGAGGAACAAGGCACATACTGTCCCTCTGTTGATCACACTTCAGAGTCTGTTTGATATCTCATTGTGCTGTGGATCTTCCCCTGGGAAGCCAGAGCAGGGCAAGCTGGAGCAATAGCATCTGGAGTTATCTTAAAAAAAAGATAATTTCTATTGCTTGCCTATGAATTAAAGGAATGCCTTTGTGTCCAGGTGCTACATTGAATAACCATATACATAATCACATTTTTGGTTTCAATATTCTATAAGATTCAAAGTTTCAGTTTTCTAGATGTGTCATATTAAAAATTGCATAGAGAAAAACCTACTCATAAGAGTAGCTAGTTCTAATTGTAGTTAATGAACTGTGAGTAGTAGGTAAACTGTAGCAGTATATGCTCCAGTGGAGCCAGTCTTCTGTTCTTCCTCAGTGCAAGTGACATCTGATCACTTCCATCTGTGACAGTCCTAGTCTTTTCTCTCAGCCCAGCTGAGGTGAAAAATCAGACCTGGTAGATTTCCTGTTTCCAGATATTACCTTCTCTTGCTGTAAGTTTCAATCTCCTTATGGCTCTGAGAAACAGCACAAATAAGGAAGAAAAAAAAAAAAAAGGAAAAAAAAAAAAGCCTGTACTCTCAATCTCTTTCTGTGTTATGAGTTAGGAGAGGGAGGATAAAAGAACAGATGTAATAAC